CTGAAAGTGGAACAACTCCGACCCTGTATATCTTGAGAAAGCGCATTTCACGTTATCATACGCGACAAGTCTGTACCGACTTGTATACCGACGTGTACATAGCACGAAATAGAACCATATTCACCGCACATAGCACGAAATAGAACCATGTCTACAGCACATAGCACGGAATAAAACCATGTCCACGCGTGGACATAACCATACGTATCGACAAGTCGCTCGTGGACATGTCTGCGTAGTTCCAATGTGCACCACCCGTGGACATTCGCTAGTGTACGGGGCGATTTTGCTATGACAGAAACTCTTATGGCCGTGGCCGCTCTCAGGCTTCTCTCTGCTCAAAGTTTTAAGTCTTAATGTCTACAAAAAACCAATCAGAAAGCAGATGAGGAGTATATAACTAGAATTTGACAACTACTTTAGTTTACTATTTTTTTAAATTACTTTTTTTTAATAATGTAATTTTGAACTTAATAATGATTTGTTAAAATTAATTACTGACTATAATTTAGCCGTGTGAGCCAAGCTTATCGATGCTAACAGTAATAGAAAAAAAAGGTAAAGTAAAATAGTGTGAAGTGCGCATTTATAAACTGTGTCATCATGGAAGAAGATGATTTAATATTTTTTTTGTCGCATTTGCTTGGATGCAAGCATCTTATTTATTACTACGTAAACGACATAAAAGTAGAAATCAAAGGTGGTGGATGCTACCAGACAAACGAGAGAGATTTCATTTGGGAGTTTTTACCACTTTATTTTTGAAGTACAAATACACGAATCATGAAGAATTTTTTAAAATGACGAGACTTACAGTANAACATTTTGAAGAACTGCTCAATTTGATTAGCCCTGCATTGATAAACAATAGTGTACAAGAAGTTTTGGATCCTGAATTCCGTCTAGCATTTACGTTATGGTAAGTTATTGTGTCTTATCAAGTACTTATATATATTCTATCTTTTATTACATTGCATATTTGTACTTTTTTGCAACTTTCTAGCATCAGGAGACAGTTTTGGCCAGATACTGGCGTATAGGCAGGTCAACATNCTATAAAGTGATTATAGAAACATGTAATGCTATTTGGCAATATCTTCAACCAATATATTTAAAGTGTCCTTCTCAAGAGGAGTGAAAAAATATTGAAAAGGGCTTTTGTGATAGATGGAATTTCCCTAATTGTGTCGGAGCGTTGGATGGAAAGCACATTCGTGTGCAATGTCCACCCAACTCTGGTTTAGCGTATTACAATTACAAAGGATATTACAGTATAGTAATGCTAGCTACATGTGATGCAAATTATGCATTTACTTATGTAGATATTGGAGATTATGGTAAACATGTGTGTCATTTTGTATTAATCAATTAGTATTAATAAATTAGTTTTTGAGATCATAAATTAAAAAAAAATAATGTTTAAGTATGCATACATAATAAATGATAAAAATAAATAATAAATAATGTTTTAGGATCATTATCGGACACAAGTGTNCTCAGTGCATCGACATTTGGTCATGCCTTGGAACGTGATAAATTAGATCTGCCGCCACCAAAAATATTGCCAGTTAACATTATTAGCCCATTATTACTTTATGGGTGATAAAATTTTTCTTTTACGATTGAATCTCTTGCGACCACATGCAAGAAAGAACTTGATTGGAATTGCACAAAAAGTTTTCAATTATAGACTTTCAAGAGCACGACGTGTTATTGAAAACGCTTTTGGAATTCTCGTAACTGGGTGAGATCATTAGATTTGTTTCTTATAACTGAACTTTATGCATTAAAAATNAAACAGATTAATATTTAAATGTTCAAAAGAAAAAGAAGAAAAGAGAAGAAAAGTGAATTAGTATAGAAAACTCAGTTATAAAGAACAAAAATCATAGTTTGTAATAAGCTACTTTGATTTCTATCAAGAAATAATTCTATTGATTAAAAATCAATGCATATAGTGATAGATATTTTTGATATTACGTGGAGAGTGCTGAGAACTACATTAGCTTTGCATCCAGACAGTGTAGAGACTATAATATTTGCTACAGTCTGTTTACACAATTTCATCATGAAAAAAAGAAGAACACATTATTGGATTTTAACCATACTGTCCACCTGGTTATGTAGACTATTATGACAACAGTGGAAATGTCATTCCTGGTTTATGGCGAGACGAAAATATTCCTGGATATGTAACACGACTCAATCGAGTGGGATCTGATCGTGCTGCCACAATTGCAATAAAGCGGCAAGATACAATAGCTGCATATTTTATTTCAAATCAAGGACAAATTCCTTGACAATGAAAAGTTATAAAAAGGGGTCGCATACAAAATGTTTTTTAATTGGGTAAACAGTGCAAAAGATGTATAAAACTAATTTTTTTATTAAATAATAAACCCAAATTTAATTTTACTAATATTTATTTTGTTGTACAAAATATGTAAATAAAATTATTGTACAAAACATGTATATATTTTAATATTTACCTTCAACAAGAGTTAACAATTTTTTTCTTTGGCATGTTATTAGAAAAACTAAATAATAGCCCAAGTAACATGAAAACGTTCAGCGAATGTTAATTTTGTGTTTGACATGTTTTATGTTAGACCTCGAACACTGATCTAACATATTGAACTAATATAAGTTTGAAATGTTCCTAAACGTACCTAAACGAAGAAACCCAAGTAGCATAAAAACGTTCTCAGAATGTTCGGCGAATGTTAGAACAGTAACAGTGAAAAACGTTTTTGTTATGTTAGAAGTTTGCTCAGGACTAACATTCTTTTAACATTCAGCAAACGTTCTCAGAACGTTTTACTGAAACGTTTCCGTAACATTCGGCGAACGTTACACANAGAGAATAAAAAAATTTTTTGCAGGTTGCATTTTTACACAGCTTCGAGATTTCACTTGAATTAATTTTTAAAGGCCCAATCATCCAATGAACTCTATTGAAAGAAACTGGATCTGAAAAAATCTTAAGATGATGGCAGGATTTGAACTCGAGACCTCTGTATTCACAGCCTCTGCACTCAGTCCGCGAGACCACTTCCCAAGTAGCATGAAAACGTTCAGCGAATGTTAATTTTGTGTTTGACATGTTTTATGTTAGACCCCGAACACTGATCTAACATGTTGAACTAATATAAGTTTGAAATGTTTGTACCCAAGTAGCATAAAAACGTTCAGCGAATGTTAATCTTGTGTTAGACTCCGAAAACTGATCTAACATGTCGAACTCCTACCCAAGTCAGGCGCGTTTTTAAGACTGGTAAAACTTCGGTGCAAGGACAAAGATGAGAGGGCCCTTTAATTAATAATAATAATAATAATAATAATAGTAATAATAATAATTATTATTATCATTATTATTATTATTGTTATTATTATTTATTAAAGGCAATTGGACAAAAGTTTTTAATAATTTTTTATTTGTATGCAAATTTAGAAACGAACACCTCTTCGAACTTTAACNGACATAAATTTGTTTGCAACATCTTCCAAATTTAAATTAATCAAAACATTTTTTTCAATTGATAATAAAGTTAGATCAGATGTTCTTTCCTGTGTCATGGTACTTTTTAAGTAACTTTTAAGTCTCCTTAATACACTAAATGATCTTTCGGCACTNGCAACTCCAATAGGTAATGTTATGAATATTATAAATTTATAAATGTTTATCATGCACCGAGGGCCCGCAATTCCCGGGGCCCGTCGGTGCATCGCACCGGTTGCACCGACGTTAAATACGCCTCTGACCCAAGTAGCATAAAAACGTTCAGCGAATGGTAATTTTGTGTTAGACATGTTTTGAGTTCGACCCCGAACACTGATCTAACATGTTGAACTAATATAAGTTTGAAATGTTCCTAAACGTACCTAAACGAAGAAAATATGATTTGCGACTGTTTTCTTGAATCCTGCATGTTAGTCTGAGAACATTCGGAGGACGTTTAGAAATTTTTTAAACCTGTATACAAATTTAAGATTTACTCAAGTAGCATAAAAACGTTCTCGTAACATTCGGCGAACGTTANTTAATTAAATGTAACAAAATATATTTACAAATGTAACAT